TTTTGGAAGAAATTCACACAAAGATACCCCAGGCGGTATCAATAAAGTGTGTTCAAAGATATTACAAGTGGTATTATGCGGTTTTTACCCAAAGATACCCCAAGCGGTATCATAATGGCTTGCTTAGTGATACCCCAGGAGGTATCAAGGAGGCTTGCTCAAAGATACCACAAGCGATATCATAAGTTCTATTCAAATACACCCCATGCGGGATTAATTAAGCTCACTAAAAAATGCCCCAGACGGGACACCTCCGTCTGAGGCTTCATTAAATGGTTATCAGAAACCAAGGATGCCTCAAGCTTTAATCATTGAAGGTTGCTTAGAGACCACCCAGACGGCATGAGAGCCGGCTGAGGGTGTTTGAAGGGCAGGTCATGAACGAGCTATGAAGATCATTGTTCAAGCGCCCCACAGGCGGTATAAGCCCGGCTAAGGGTGCGAAATATCTAAGTCAAAGCGTGGCTTGCATATACCCCAGACGGTCCATTACCGTCTGTGGGTCCAGTTTTGAAGAACTATTATTTTAAGACACCCCAGTCGGCCAAGAACCGTCTGTGGGTCTGATAACGAAGAATCTTGTTTGAAGACACCCCAGGCGGCTCCTTGCCGTCTGAGAGTCTATGAAGAATTTTTTGATAGGCAGTTGTTTGAAGGTGGTCCAGGCGGAATCTTTCCGGTTGAGGGTCTACTGGATGCAAAATGATTTTCTGAAGATACCCCAGACGGCATGTATTCGTCTGTGGGTCCTTTGAATGCAAATTCTTGAAAACCATTGATTGCAGATATCACAAGCGGTATATCACCGCCTGTGGTCCTATGGAATGCATTACTAAAGGCCAAGGTTTAAAGGTATCCCAGACGGTCCACACTCTCTGGGGGTCTATCATTTGAAAAACAAGGTATAAAGATGCCCCATCCGGTATATAGCCGTCTGTAGGTCTTTTAAGTGCAACTACATGAAAAACTAGTGTAAAGGTGCATAGGCGGTATTCACCGTCTGTGGGGCTATGACATGCATTCAGAGTATAGGCCATTGATTAAGGATACCCCAGACTGTCCACCACCGTCTGAGGGTCTATCTTTGAGGATCATAATTTAAAGATTCCCCAGACGGTTTACACCGTCTGTGGGTCTACCAAATGCAAAGCATAAAAAGGGGCTTATGGAGTCCCAGACGGTGTATGACCATCTGTGGTTCTACTCAAGATAAGAAAAAGAATCAAGTCAGGCGGTACCTGGAGGGATTAAGTGAAGAAAGTCCTCAACCGGTATCCGTGTGCGTTTCAATGAAGCAACAGGTTGATGAAACTAGCAGCCGGTGTCAGAGCTCTCAAGAAAATTCTGAAAAAATTTGTAAAGTGAAGAGGAGAGAGGGTGTGCGCCTCAATTTATAGGAAAAAGACCGGAAGGCGAATCACCACCTTCTGCCTTAATCCTTTCGAAATTCAAATTCAGGAGAGAGAGGCGGGAAGCAACTCAATCGTCGCTTGTTCATTGTTTGACACCTGTCACAGGTGACACGTGGTTGCGCCACGTCACACCTGTGAGGGGCAAATGTTTAGGGTAAAAATACCCTATGCCACGTGGCCCAGTAGAATCATGACACGTGGCAGCCCACCAACGGCCCAATGGGATCCAATCGGATGCTGCCACGTGGCATCAAAACCCTAATCAGGGAACATGTCTCCCCCACTATAAATAGGGGAATCCTCCTCATTTATTGGGCATTCACAAAATCCAAACACGAAACCCGAGCAATATTAATTGCGGAATCTCTTTGAATTAGTGAGAAAAACCTATTTACCTTCCGTATTATTACCCATCCGTAAATCATACTAACTTGATCGTCGGAGGCGGAACTCCACCCAACCGGAGTTTCGTGGTTTTGCAGGTACAGAAGTCAGACGCGCATACTCCGTATTGTAACTCTCCCGAGGGACCAAAAACACCCGAAACACCTTCGGACTTTTGAAGATCTTGCTTTTTACAATTCATGACATAAATAAAAAGCTAAAAAATATGATGTATTGCGTAAAGACTTCTATGATTCATTCTAACTAGTTATGTGACGTGTCATCTATGACAAAAGTTTCAAAATAGAAGCCCAAACAAGGTCTAAGATCATTTAACACCGTGTTAAGCCATGTCATGCTTGTGTAGATATAATATACGTAGTATTAACATGTTTTGTTGTGCCGAACCTTGTTATTTCATCCATAGTTGTGCTTCTCCAAAAATAACCTGGCCCACAGCTAGAGAATGAAGTACTCTTGGGTGTAGGGATAAACAATTAGTGAAACTCTAATCTCTTTCGGCTTCACAGAACTAGAAGAAGGATTGACGAAATGTTAATTATATAAGGTTGATTGAAGATTTAACGTTTTGACTATCACCCTTTATTAATTATTGTTTACATATTAATTATATCTTTATTTACTTTATTTTATTCCTCACACTATTGTTATAGAGTTTTTATCTTTAATAGTTCACACAGGTTGGATCAAAAATTGATCTATCTCAAGGCTATCAGTCTAACTCATCAATGTTAATGACGCTTCTCTCCACTATTCTTACCACAATATCATCCACATACTTTGATCCCTAGTCTCCCTAATGAAATTGAAGTGGAAAGCGATGACACTAATCACAAGGGTTTCGGTACAATTCCACCTGTAAATGTAAAAGTAGTTTTATGTACCTTGGCTATCTACTTACCTTGAACAATATGTTTCAATTATAAACTAGGCTAAGTCCCGTGTCATGTACGGTTATAATTAAATTTAATTTTATAATAAATAGATTATAAATAACGGTGTTAATTCAACAATATCTTATCCAAAAAAATTATTTGTAACAAAATAACTTGAATTTTGGTTTATACCAATACCAAATATGTAAAGGTTATTGAATTGGATTGTATAAAAAAAAAAATATAGTAATAGAAATTTAGAAGCTATAAAGTAGTTTTATATAAGAAAATTAAAATATTAGCTTAGGTTAATACCCATATACGAACTCATATACATTTATCTTGTTAACACACTTTGACCGGCATAATATGAAAATTTAATTGATTTTATTTTACTTTAAGATAATTAGTATTCCGTAATCAACTTTTTTAAATATATTTCTAGTGAGTAGTAAAGGTTTTTATTTTTTAAATAATCACATAAATTTTTAGAGTAATTAGATTAAATTTTCCAATATATATTATGTATACTATAATAAAATAATTTTGTCTTATAAACGTTATGTAATTTTAAGATCTATACAAAGTATGCTACCAAAATTATTTTTCTTTTTTAATTAAAATAAATTTTATTGCGAAATGATAAAAGTTGGAGAAAAAAATTGATATTAATAATATTATAATATAATCTTGGAATATAATATATTACAATACCTTATTTATAATCTATGTTATCTATGTTAGTATTTTTGTAACTAAAAGTTTTCTATTATATAAAATATATGTACAAAAATATTGAGTATAATTAGATTAAATATGTTGTCAAAATGGAAATAACTATTATTGTAGATTATAAAATGAATGTCATAAAAAAATGGCAAAAAAAAGGAAAGGAAAAAAAGGAGGGAAATTTTTTACCAGGAAATAACAAGTGTCATTCCAAGTTTCGCTTTTAGTATATAATTATTGATGTTCACATCCATTTTCTTATAACTGTTAATGAAGTTAGGGGATATTTCCGATTTTAGGGCAGGTCATGTCTAGCTATAGATAATCATAAAATATATTTGTATTATACTTTGTACTCCGTATATAATAAAATGGTATGTAATAATATATCGAATGATTATAACAAATCACAATTGCCGCACCCAGTAATTCGTACAGCGTTCCTAATAACTACTCCAAACTTCTTATCTTCCTCAATGTCCTGCATTTCATTCAAACACCATTTTCTTCTCTTCTTCCACTAACACCTCCTATGGCAGAAAAATTGATATACCAATGATCGTTCCCATCAGTAGCGTTGTTATTGGCGGTGGTATTGTCGACAGCGAGAAACTCGTTGGGATCAAAGACGTCATCCAAGCGGAAGAGAGAGAAAGTTTAAGAGAATTGAAAAGGATGGAGAGGAGAGAGAAAATAAAGATTGTTGATTATATTTGTCCATGATTTATGCTTAAATTGGCTTGATAATTGCTTGAGATTCTCGGATTTTTCAAAATATGACCAAAAAAAATCGAATTGGGGCTTTCTTGTGTGATGTATAATTGTTGAAATTGATTGTCCCTTGTGATTGTATGTTGAATTGTGAGCGTTTTGATAATAAATGCATGTATTTTGGTTGAGAAATGAGCAAATTATCTTATACCCATGAGCTTAGTAGTGTTAATACGGGACCTTCAATGGAGGTTCCGCCATTGTTGACCTTTTAATTATTTTTATGTATATCAGCCAACAAAAGGAACATATCAACCAACAAATGAAACTTATCAGCCAACAAAAAGAACATATCATAACAAGAAAACAGCTTAATTCCAACGGAAAAAATCCGTCGGAATCATCAGAAATTCCGTTGGAAAATGGTCTTCCGACGGAATCAGTTTGTCGCAAAACCCTTTGTAGGAAATTCGACCTTTTCCGACGGAATAATGTAGTACTTGGTGAAGGATATCTATAGTTTGCCGCACCCAATACCTTCTTTTAACAAAATCAGGTGTTGTTCTAAAACCTTTTTTTTTTTTTTTTTTTTTTGACATATGCTTGACGATTATCTAATATTGTTAAGTTAGTTAAGCTAGCTATTTGACATGATGACGTCTCATGCCCAACGTTAACCTCAAAACACAAAAGTCAAATCTTAGCTTTTAAACGAAATTTATCTTAGAAAATGGCATATTCTTTTATTTGATCACAAATAATTCATCTCCTTATTAACTTAATCATAAACTAACAACCAAAATCAGTTGGTAACCACTACAATTAATGATTAAATCATGGTAAGTGAATAAAACTATGCTAAATAAATGAATTCTATAATTAGTGGCAACTAATTGATTGAGATATGAGCTTCACGTTCCAATCCTATGGAACGTTTTTGGTTTCCACGCTTCATGATAAATTCACAATCACTTTTATGTTTAATAATCTTAATTAAATATATGAATTAAAAGAGTTTTTAATTTTTATCAAACATTTTATTGCAAAACTCAAATATTAGTCCTTAATTTAGAAGAGAAGAAAAAAAAAAATTAAAGAGATGGCAACTCTCAAGGTTTATGCTGATAGGAGGTCCCAACCAACTCGAGCAATTATCCTTTTCTGCAAGTAATAAAACTTGTTTTGTTTTATTATTAACATTAATTAAAATGATTTCTCCAGCTGGTAATCCTGATATATTGAATTCAAGGTTGTTAAATGTTTGCACTAATTGGAATTATTATTTTGTAATTAGGGTTAACGGTATTGAGTTTGAAGAAGTAGAAACAAGGCTCTTTAGCGATGATCTCCAAACTCCAGAATATCAAGGTGCAGTGCTTATTGTTACTAATTAATTGTCTTTACTTTGGTTGGCCTAAGCAAGATTTTCTTTCGTTGTTACGACTTATGAATTATGAACTTATGCCAATGTTAACTAAGTCATATTTTTGCTTTAATTTTAAAGGTTGCATTGTATCATTTTAATTATTCTTACACTATATTGATTATATGAGAGTGAGGGATAGCTAAAGTGATTAGAGCTCCCCTCCCGGGTGATTTTGGGATCGATTTTCATCATCCGCCCTTTTTGCTCCCTAAACAACAAAAAAAAAACTATATTGATAAAATTATGTTGGTTAATATGTATATGAAAGTTTTTTTTTTTTTTTTTTTTTTTTGTCGTAATTAGTGTTTTTAATTTTTTATACCAAAGTTTAACCATATTGTTTATGACATTTGTGTAAACCTCTAAAACCAAGCAAAAAATAATTGATTTACTAAATTTATTGACCAACTTTCAGCAATCAATCCTATGAAGAAAGTCCCAGCAATAGCTCATGGAGATTTTACACTCTTTGAGAGGTAATTTAATTTGCTCATCATCATAGTTAATTACACAATCTATTATTGCTAAGTTCACACATTTTAATTAGCTTTGAAATTTTTAATATGCAACTAATTATAGAAGTTGTAGCTCATCAAATGGTTTTTTTTTTGTCACTCTTGCTCGCAGCCATGCCATACTCATGTACCTTGCTTGCTCTTATCATGTACCCGATCACTGGTATGCTCATTATTCTATCTCGATTCAAATGTTACTCCGTTGTAATTAATGCACTCATATTTAAAATCAAATTTCATCAGTTTTGACCGTACCGTATTTTTTATACCAATATATTTCTCCATTTTTTTTAGTTAACACCGTTTGACTTTTACACTATTCACAAATTATATGCTTTGACTGGCTTTTGTGATTTGTAGCTACGTAAAATATAGTCAAGTGAGATCTTATTGTTTTAATCGTCTCAATACATATTTTATTAATATCCACTTTTTATAATTTTTCAATATCGAGAATTAGAGATATTAATCGTTAAAATAGTGCATTGGCAAGCGTAATAAAAGAAAGGTGTAAACTTAATAAAAACGGAGTTAGTATATAATATTTGTTTTAGTTTTGTATTTTAAAGATACTCCGTATGATCTATTTATAATTCGTAAAATTAATGACTAAAAACATTTGTCTTAGAATCTATATAAAATCAAATGGAACAATTAAATAGCACAGGGAGCCTGTTGGTGATGTTGCCTTTTGAATTACGGAGTATAAGCTAGCTAGGTAATAATAATTGTTACCCTAAACCTTCTAGACAAACACTTGGTAATGATAATGGTTTAATAAATCCGTTTTCAACCAAAAAAAAACTATTACCAAACAAGCTCTAAACTTTTAAAATTTGATCATGTAGGTATCCAGCTGATCTTTACAAGAGGGCTAAGCTTCAATCCTTGTTAGATTGGCATCACTCCAACTTGCGCTATGGTTCAAGTAATATATCTATATAAGACTAGTATTTTCATTTTGTTTTACGGATGAGTATTATAAAAAAAATTTAATCGATAAGATACAGAGGGTCCCCTACCCTATCACAGGATTGGAGGAGATGAAGATCGAACCCCCGACCACTTGACCTGATGAGTAGTATATTACTTGTACAACATTATGTATTAAGTCACTTCCTTTGATTTCTTAAAATTAAAACTATTTAACTAGCGTATTTTCTAACCGCGTAACTTTAATTTATCAATAATAATCAATATTTTTTTTACCTTAGCTTGCTAAATGCTAATATTTATATACTTTTATGGTGTACGCAGTGGGATACTTGGTTAACACAATATTAGCGCAATTTTTGGGAAAATGGCCAAACCCTGGTTGTGCAGCTGATTGTGAAAAAAAATTGGTTGATTCATTTTCCACAATTGAGAAAGTATGGCTTAAGGACGATGCCAAGTTCTTGCTAGGAAACGATCAACCCTCCATTGCCGATCTTTCCTTAGCTTCGGAGATTATGCAACTTCATGTAAGCAAACTTTGTTAAATACCTCTCATTGATCAATGTTATGCCTCCATATTCATTGTTAATCAAGCATTAAGTTAAAAAGTAAATGTGTAAAGTAGCGCGATTTTAATGGTTTACTACAACTAACATGTTGTTCTTGTACTTATAGATGTTACCTGATGAAGAAAGGAATAGGTTGATAGGCCCTTACAAGAAAGTTCAGCAATGGGTTGAGAATGTGAAAGAGGCAACTAACCCTCATTTTGATGAAGTTCACAAGTATCTCTTTGATGTTATTGCCACTTTGAAGCAGAAGGCTTAATTTTCAAAAGCATATATTATTTATGTGTTAATTTTCAAAGAATTAAACCATTTCTCTTAATATTTTGATCACAATTTGACTAATTAAGGAGGTTTTCGGCCTTAATTATCTATCTCATTTTACATTTTGATGTTGAGTTATTCACTTGTTGATTCTTGCATTTGGAGAATTCGTAGTCTATGCATTTTGTACTAGTAGTGTAATGCAAATATGCGTAAATAATACCAACTAATTTTTTTAAAAAAATTACTCTCATTTTTAAGTATCTTTGTATTTTATGGGTTGAAATTAGTAAACTTAGATTGAATTAGCTAGTAATGATTGTGTTGGGTCATGTCCTCACAAGTTGGCTTGACCAGTGCCATTTTAAGCCACAACTACTCAAGGTCCCTTCCGACCCTACCTCTTTTAACAAAGAGAAACGTAACGAATAAAGTAAATAAATTAGACAAAAGATGTTATTGTGTCCTACAACTTTATCTATAATTATATGATCATGTATTCACTTAAATCATGAACGCTAATATTATAGTATTGCCAAAACAAGAAAGAGTTTGAGAGAAAGCGAGAGAAATGGAAACAGAATTGCTCAAGGTTTATGGTGATCGCAAGTCTCAACCCACCCGTGCTATCTTGATCTTTTGCAAGTATTTTTACTCTTTCCTTTTATTACCTTTAATTTTTTTTATTTTTTTTTTTTTTTTTTTTGCCATCATATGATCATTAAAAAAACATCCTTTTTCGTATAATTTTTGGCATAATTAGTTATACTTAAACTTTTATCAAGTTAATGATGCTTGGCATAATTTGGATTTACTTATATAATTCTTACGCCAATTAACATTTGTACTTTTAGGGTTAATGGGATCCGATTTGAGGAGGTGGAAATTAGACTCTTCACTTCTGATGTTCAAACTCCAGAGTATCAAGGTATAGTATGCTTGCTTCAAAAAAAAAAAAGGTATAGTATGCTACCCATTTTTCTAAGTATATAATAATGTTTCGTTTCACAAATATTTAGTATTGGCTTTTGTTTTAATTCTTTGAATTTAGAAAATATAAATTTATAAAATTAATACAATACTCAATTTAAAGGTAAGGATTAACTTGATTAGACCTTAATACTTATGGTTTTTTTTGGTGAATGAAGTAATTAAGGCTTAAGCACTTGGGGAGTAGAAGGGAAGGATAATGGAGTTCCTACCCTCGAGTACCCTAGATGCTTGATAGACCGAGATGCCTACCACATTATTTTGAATTGGCTTACAAATTTGCTATGAATTATGATTATTATCCCCTTTTCTTTCTTTCTTCTTTAATACAGTAGTTATTTTCTGGTTTAATCTTTCAGCAATACATCCATTGAAGAAAGTCCCAGCAGTAGCTTATGGAGATTTTACTCTCTTTGAAAGGTAATCCTATAGAGTACATAAAACACTTTGTTAAAATTACTTATGTTACAAGCTAACAATCATGGAATAAAGCTTTTAATTATGCATCTATTTAATAAAACCAGCAAGTTTTCTAAAAAAATTATCAATTAGCATTTTTTGTTTATGTTTTACTCTGCTTGCAGCCATGCCATACTCACGTACCTTGCTTGTTGGTATCAAGTGCCTGATCATTGGTGAGCTTATTACGTTTTTCCTAGCTAGTCAAAGTAGGAAACTGATTTTGATACACCTTATATTGATTTTGGCACATTCTTTGTGAGGCAAGCATAGAATATTTTGCTCTCATAATTAATGTACCAAAATCAAATTTATACGTGTCAAAAATTAAATCATTCACGCCTATTTCTTTTTGAAACTCTGATATAGGTCAGGGCAAGTATTCATGTTTCAATTGAATTAAAAAAAATGTAGGTACCCAGCTGATCTACGGAAGAGAGCTAAGGTTCAATCCGTGTTGGATTGGCACCATACAACATTACGTTATGGTTCAAGTAATATCATCTCTCTATAACTCTTCTCAACAAAATAGTTTCATGTACTCCCTTAATGAGCCCGAGAAATCTAGTTACACCTTTTTTAACTTCAAATGATTTTGGTGCTTTAAAATAATATTAGTACTTTTATGTAAATTTAAACTTAGAATATGTTCAGTTTACCTGATCTGATTTGACATATACAACTTAGCTGTTGACCGAGCATAAGTCTTAGCTCAAGTTCTAATTACCATAAATTCTAGAGGCTGGAAAAGGTTTGGATCTTACCAAGTAAGAGTGTTTGAGAAGGTGAGGATCTTCTTACCTCTCTAGATCCCCTGCGTACTTCCAAGTGTTTGGATTGTAATATTGGTTAAGTGTTAATTGAATGGTTGAGATCTCAGTTAGGATTCTTCATCAATTACCTTTACCTAAAGGGAAAAAAACCCTAACTTAGAATACTTTTGTCATTTCACATCGTTCATAACATAAAATGAATTTTATAGATATTTATCAACGGGCCAGCAATATGTTATTAGATCAAGACGATAAATTTTTTTTCTCAAATATACTTGTATATTGTGTACCATGATGTTCCAAGTTCAAGAGTAATAATCAAGACTATCAACAACTTTATAGTTTAATTATGTTGTATTAATTTGGTTTGTACTAATTCTCATATAATTTGCTCTGGGATGAGCCCAGCAAGATACCTGATAAACACAGTATTAGCTCCCACATTTGGTAAAACGCCAAGTCCTCAAGCAGCAGCCGAATATGAACAGACGTTGGTTCAATCTCTTTCAACCATTGAGACTTTGTGGCTTAAGGGCGACTCCAAGTTCCTGCTAGGCAATGATCAACCTTCTGTTGCCGATCTTGCTCTAGTTTGTGAAATTATGCAACTTCATGTAAGCCATCAATCACTAGCTTTACCAACATATATTTCATTTTTGGGTGCATATATAGAGTGTGAGTCATAAAAGGCTAATGTATCTATCCAGACGAGTCTTGGTCTTATATAAAAAATTCAAAAGTTGCATATTATTTCAAGCTTTAAGTTTCAAGTTCAAAAACTTGTTAATGAATAATAACATGTTTTTGAACAGATGATACCAGATGAAGAGAGGAAGAGGATTATAGGTCCATTTAAGAAAGTTCAACAATGGATAGCGAATATAAAAGAGGCTACAAACCCTCATTTTGATGAAATTCACCAGCATCTCTTTGATGCTATTGCTAGTTCCAAGCAAAACACGGCTTAATCTCCAATCCGAAAGGCTGAAAGCCGAAAAAACATTGATCTCATATGGAATTTAAGTATGTAGTATTTGATTGATGAGGTTCTGGTTCTCCTCTATGTACGAGTTCTTATATGTATTTGTGTTATGTGGCTATGAATGCCTAATGGCGACTTTCATTAAATTAGCCACTACTATAATTCTATAAAGGTTCGATGAAATGTAGTGATGATGTATACTTATATTTCGTGTATGTTGTAGATAAATACTTTAGCATTCGAGTCTGCTTTAAACAAATTGAATATATTCTAATCTGAACCCGACTTGTTTAAGTTTTCAAGTTCAATTTCTTGACCCTAACTTGATGTGTTTAAATAATTTTTGGGTCAAGTTCGAGTTGATTATTTGATTATATTGTTTTGAAGTATTCTAAATGGGTCAATCAGAACCCGCCTAACTTGCCATTTTCAGATTGACTTGAATACCTCTCATTGATCAATGTCATGCCTTCATATTCATTGTCAATTAAGCATGCAATTAAGTTAGAATGTCATCTCATTGATCAATGTCATGCCTTCATATTCGCTGTATGTTCTTGTACGTATAGATGCTGCCTGATGAAGAAAAAAATAGGTTGATAAGACTCTTACCAAATAGTTCAGCAATGGATAGAGAATGTGAAAGAGGCACATAACCCTCATTTTGATGAAGTTCACAAGTATCTCTTGTTGTGTTAAGGGAAGGAAAAATTATTACATTCTTAAACATCACGAGAATAAGTATTTTGGTGAAAATCCCACATGCACTGGTTGCCAGGCAAGCCCGTCCTGTAAGGAAGAAGAGGGCGGAAAGAAGACTTCAAGAAAATTGAGAAATCCCAAGTGCCCGGGCAGACCGGGCAAGCTCGTTTGATTGGGCGCGAGGTGTAGCGTCTGGCTTGGCTTGCTCGCGCGGTCGGACGTGCCCATGCCTAGTCAGGCACGTGGGATTTCTGGGTTTTTGGACGTCTTTTGGCCTTCTTCTTGGATTCCTTTCTTGTTCTATATTGATGCTTTGTAACCCCCACGTTACTCCATCTTTAATTGTACGTTTTGGAGCTTAATCTACCTCCTTAATTCTGATTAAACTCTCTTCACTTCATCTTCCTCGTCTCTTCATCTATCCATGCTTATGCTATGTATTCATGGTGCAAAAATCAGAAATCATATACAAAATAGCTAAACACTTTATTCTTTGGGTATAAGTTTACTTAGACTCCACCTTTTATCCTGAAGTGCCTTAGAGTGGTGTGCAGTGTAACCTTAGGGAACGAGCCAACGATTACAATTGAGCACCCCGGTTGCGCCGTAATTCATTTTTAAAAGCAGTGATTTATCACGCCACACCGAATTTCTTCCTTTGTTTTTCTAAGATTGTTTTGTGTTATTCTTGTTCATTTCGATTATTATTTTGTATTAGACCCTTATTAAACAACATCTCTTTGATGTTATTGGCACTTTGAAGCAGAAGGCTTAATTTGTGAAAATCATATATTAATATGTGTTAATTTTCAAAGAATTAAACCATTTCTCTTAATATTTTGTTCACAATTTGATTAATTAAGGAGGTTTTCGGCCTTAATCTATCTCACTTTATATTTTGATTTTGAGTTGTTCACTTGTTGATTCTTGCATTTGGAGGATTCGTAGACTCGTAGTCTATGCATTTTGTACTAGTAGTGTAATGCAAATATGCGTAAATGATACCGAATTACCGAGTAACAAAAATTACTCTCATTTTTAAGTATCTTTGTATTTTGTAAGTTGAAATTAGTTCATATAATTATGGGAATTCTTTTTTTTTTTTTTGGCCCTGTCTAATACTCCTATAATCTCTACGTATTTAAAAACTTAGGCCTAATTTGGTTATATATGGGAATTAAATGCCTATAGGAAGTTATAATACATGGGAAATTTTATTGCCTAGAAAATACTAAAATTGTGTTTGGTTGACATATAGGAAATCATATTTCCCATGAATTAGTTTCTTATGTTTTGTTTGGTTAACTTATGTAATACCCATGTATAATTATAACTTGAACTACTTTTCCGAAATTTTGAGGACAATAATGTAATTTCACCCAAAATACATGTGGGAAATTTGAGTGACCAAGGTAGGGTGTGGAAAATTAATTCCCATGTTTTGTAGGAATTCCAAATTCCTTAAGAATTTCCACTTCCTACATTTTTGCTAACCAAACAACTACTCTTAAACACAATTCCCATGAATTTGTATTTCCCCCATTATTGAAATGCAACCAAATAAGGCCTTAGATTGAATTAGTTAGCAATGATTTATTGATTTACAATTGAGCTTTTTTTTCCCATAGATTTATACTTAGGGCATGTTCAACAATAACTTTTGAGTAGATTTTAGTAGTTTGACTTATTCAAAACATTACTTAATACTTGTATATAATATGAGTGTTTGACAATATAGTATTTGAAGTAATTTTTTTTGAAAACTTAACATTATTAGTTTTTGTGAAAAGCTAGGTAGTTGCTGGAAATTTTCTTCTATATCTTTAGAATTTTACAGCTAATATCTAGTCATCAACTACTTTACCAAAACTCATACTTAATTATTTATTTTCACATACAACTAACAACCACTATCACATCTAACAACTACCTTTACAATTACATTTTGCCGAACATGTCCTAAATTAAAATGATGGTGTAGCCACTAAAATATACTATGTACTACGTAATTACAACAACTTTTTGGTGCACTAGGCCACACTGTGTGGCAGGGGTTACCCGAGTTATTTTATTAGGGGTTACTTGAGGGGTTCGGACAGGGGTTACTCGAGGGGTTCACTCGTTCAAGGGTTACTTGAGGGGTTACTCGGTTAGGGGTTACTCGAGTTACTCGGTCAAAGGTTACTCGAGTTACTCGGTTAGGGGTTACTCGAGGGGTTACTCGGTTAGGGGTTACTCAAGTTATTCAGTTAGGAGTTATTTGAGGAGTTTGGTCAGGAGTTACTCGAGTAATTCGGTCAGGGATTACTTGAAGAGTTCGGTCAGGGGTTACTTGAGGGGTTACTCAATCGGGGGTTACTTGAGGGGTTACTCGAGGGTTTCGGTCATGGATTACTTGAGAGGTTAGTCGGTCAGGGTTACTTGAGGGGTTACTCGGTCAGGAGTAACTCAAGTAAGCCCTGACTGAGTAACTCGAGTAACCCCTGTCGCACGATACAGCAGGCCGCATACAAAAATTGTGACGTAATTAAAGATACTGATGAATAAATAATTGTATTGATAAACGTGAAATGACAAATGGAAGTACTTTGCAGATTTTCTAAAAGTCCGTATAATCATACTTGTACAATTAATCCTCACCAATCCCACTAAGGCACTAGAGTCCAGACTCCAGAGCAAAAGAAGAAAGAAAGAAAGAAAAAATGACTCTGAAAGTTTTTGCAGATCGAATGTCCCAGCCTTCTCGAGCTGTTATTTTGTTCTGCAAGTACTCGAATTCTCTTAAAATTTTCCATTTTCGTTTATTTATTTATTTACTTTGTTCTTTAATCTGCTATTTTCTTCAATTTGCTACTTTACTTATGATTTAATTTCTTTGCATTTGTTGCAGGCTTAGCAAAATCGATTTCGAGGAAGTCAAAATTGATCTTTTCAAGCGCCAGCATTTATCTCCTGAATTTGCTGGTAACCCTTTTTTTTTTGCTTCTTCTACTAATTCGATGTTGAATTTATTGAAACTAATTAGTTCTGATTCATTCAGGAAGTTGTAATAATTCATATAAAAGTTGAATATTTGTATTAATTGGATGTGAAATTCTTTTCCCATGCTCTCAAATTAGAAAGATAAATATACATGAGTATAATTCCACTCCCAAGTAATTAAATTTCTAAAATTGTTTACAATTTTGTTAAAAACAAGAACCCCCCCCCCCCCCCCCCCTTTTTGGGTGTGAATTTAGTGCTAAAATTTGTGCCAATCATGAGAAAAGCGTATTATCATGCATAGGGTTTGTTCCTTTACGGAGTGGAAAGGGATAAGAATAATTGTTGGAGAGAGAATTCAACTTAGTATCTCTTGATTTAAGGCCTGAGTCATGCTCTTTTATAGTTTTATTTATGGGTGCGAGCAAGAGAAGCAGTGTTGTTTGCCAATTACTTAGCTTAATTCCTCTGCTTGTATGAGTAATTTGTTTGCCTAAGGTTGTGAGTTGATCTGGAAGTGAACTGTTTTAAGATCATGAGGGAAAAATATAAAAAGAGAAGCTAAATTTCAGTATTTATAAGAAAGAGAAGCTGATTGACTCCAAGATTTGAATAGGAGTATAGGATAGTAGAGCATGGTTTCTTTTTTCCTGAAACCCTATGTCCTGGATACCTTGAGAAACCCAATTGCTGCCAAATCCAGAACCCAAAGGCACCTGATATTCAACCATTCCAGTGGCGAGTTTAGCCATCCTTGTGTTGTGGGAAGAGCCTAGTTTGAGCCACGGGCTATGATCATGATAAAGATGCCAAATTGGTCACTAATTTATCTAAAGAGCATCATCTCCCACTAATCTATTGTATTGTAGAATTCGTAGCATCCCTTTTTAAAATTTTAGCTTAGTAGTTTCATCCTAACAAGCCAAATCATTCTTAGGAGTTTCCTCATTTTATTTTTGTGCAGTGGCTACCCCTTTACCCTTAGTTGATTTTTCTCTTCTTCCTGAATATTATTGCTTTTTACATTATACTGGAAGCACTTCTAATGAAAGTCAATTTCATGTTCGAACCCCAAAGACTAGTGCCTTAGAAGCTTCTAATGTTGGTAAATACCTTATTTAAAGCTCCCTTGGCCTTATACATCCCCTATGTTTGAAATTTGCCTGTTGCTGACATATTGGTGTGTTAAATAGATAAAAAAAAAAAAACCTCTAATATATTGGGCTTCTTGATGTGGAGAATTTAAGGCTTAACTAACTATACCAAAGGAGTCCTTAAGAGTGTAGGGCATTTGGCAAAATTAGTTTTTGGAGATTGAAGCTTAAATGTTACAATGAATATAGAGAAAGGGTGTTGGGTCTTTTATGGAAAGTTTTGAAAATGATGATATAAAGGTCAAAAATTGTGGAGAGAGATAGTGCTACAAAATTAGCAGGAACTATATTTTGTCTCAAGCATGAGAAAGGCAATGTACGTATATCCATTGTAAAATAGTAAGGGTTATGAAAAAGTGTTTGGGAGGAGACTTAAAATAATCAATTTTATACTGCTGATTTGCAATTGGACTTGTTTTAGTGGGAGAGAAGTTTATTATTTTGTGAGAAAGAGAACCCCTTTCTTAGCTCAACTTCTCTGCTAGTATCTGGAGAAAGTAATACTATAAGAGTGGTTTGTTCTTTTTAGGCTGGGAGCTGAGAGTGAAATGATCATATGTGGAGTATTTATCCTGGATATCATTTACATTAACTGGAGATGTCTGCTGGTTATTAATTTTTCCTATGCTTGTCATAATCTCTGCAAGTCCATTTTAGTGTTTTACCAATTCTGCATCTTCCTTCCCTTCTTACTGTGTCTATTTATAACAATCTTCTTACTGTGTCTATTATTATATTGTTCATGATCATTACATTTCAGAGATAAACCCACTGCAGCAAGTTCCTGCGATAGTTGATGGAAGATTTAAGCTGTATGAAAGGTAATACTTGGATTTTGTCTCAGACTGAAATAGTCTCCATATGATAGTAGGATGTCAATTCCTTTTCTTTCTATTTTTTATCCCCCTCCTATTCTGTTGGCTAGTCTAGTATTTCAATAAGAGAATTTTCTCTATTTAATTGATGACTAGATAGGCTGTTGTGATAGATTCTCCTATGAAGAAGAAACACAGACTTTAAGCCTCAGGGCATCCGAAAGTAAAGTGAATATTATATTTCTTGATTGGAGTAGCAAGCATGAAAAGGTCAATTTTTATTCTTACCCTTTCTCAAATCATATAGTGAGAGTAGAAGTTATTATCCCATGTCTATCATCGAGACATTTGGATGCCTCCTCAGAATTTGCCCCGACCATCTGTGTTTCATTTCTTGCGTATTATTGATAGGCATTGGATTGGCTTATATTTTCTTGCAAGAATGGTTATTATGGATAAAACAACACTATGTGATGCTCAAACTACGTAGTCTTGGGTATAGAGTTGAAATGGAAATTCTCAATTTGAAGATGTAGGGACACTGAGTGCAATCAATCAATCAATCAATCAATCAAAGCCTTAATCCCATAAGTGGGGTCGGCTAACATGAACCAAATTTGATTATTCCGCGTAGTCATCGACATAAATCTTCCTCTTTCATCCCTTACGATCCAATGCTTCATCCTCATGCAAATCCATACACTTCATATCCTTCCTAACACCTTCCAACCAAGTCATTTTCGGTCTCCCTCTCCCTCGTTTAACCCCTCCATGGTCTCTTCCACTGTTCGCACCGGTGCACCTTTGGGTTTTCGTCTTACATGCCCAAACCAATGCAGGCAATTTTTCCTTAGTTTATCTGCAATGTCTGTCACACCTACTTTCTTGCGAATAACCTCTTTCCTGATTCTATCTCTTAGAGTGTTCCCACACATCCACCTTAACATGCGCATTTCCATAACCTCCATCTTTTTAATGTGTTCCTTCTTAGAAGCCCAACATTCTGTACTATAAAGCAACAATGGTCTTATGGCAGGTAGAATTTTCCCTTCAATTGTAAGGGAATTCTTCGGTTACATAACACTCTTGTGGCCGCTCTCCATTTAAGCCACCCCAACTTAGTCCTGTGAGCCACGTCTTGATCAATGTCACCATTCTTGTGGATGATCGACCCAAGATACTTAAAGCATTCACTCATGGTCAAATCCTTTCCATCCAAACTCACCACTTCATTGCTTGTCCCCCTCTGAGTACCAAAACGACATACCAAATATTCTGTCTTACTCCGACTTAGCTTAAGCCCTCTAGATTCCAACCTTTGCGTCCATTGCTCCAACTTAGCATTAACCCCATCTTTAGTTTCATCCACCAAAACGATATCATCTGCGAACAACATACACCATGGAACCTCATCTTGAATTGGTCTAGTTACTTCATCTAGCACCGTTGCAAAAAGAAAAGGGCTTAATGCAAACCCTTGATGCAATCCGATTGTAATAGGGAAATCTTTTTTCAACCCTCCACATGTCCTCACATTTGTTGACACATCCCGATACATATTCTTAACCAAGTCCACGTACCTTCGTGGGATACCTTCCTTCAACACTGCGCACCAAAGTAACTCTCTTGGCACCTTGTCATATGCCTTCTCTAAATCAATAAAGACCATATGAAGATCCTTCTTCTTTACCCTATAAAACTCCATCATTTGTCTTATCAAATGGATTGCTTCCATAGTAGATCTCCCAGGCATAAAACCAAATTGGTTATCCGAAATGCTTGTGCATGCCCTCAACCTATATTCAATCACCCTTTCCCACAACTTCATATTATGGCTCATAAGCTTGATCCCTCGATAGTTAGAACAATCTTGAGCGTCTCCTTTGATCTATAGACCGAGACCAAGGTGCTCTTCCTCCAATCTTGCGGGATCCTTGTAGCCGTCTATATCTTGTTGAAAAGGTCTATTAACCAATCAATACCAATTTTACCCAAACACCTCCACACCTCTATCGGTACATCATCAGGGCCAACCGCCTTCTTAGGCTTCATCTTCTTTAGTGCAATCTCCACCTCTACTCTCCTAATCCTCTGCACATACTCCATGTTGATTTCTTCATCACTCACGGACGTATCTCCTGTCACCACTCCATTACTTCCATTAAACAATTCGTTAAAGTACCCCTTCCACTTGTCCTTGATGTCCTCCTCTGGACTATTTGGTTCTTATCTTTGACACACTTCACCATACCAATATCCTTCCTTGTCTCTTGTCTTCTCTTTGCCATCTTATAAATGATCTTTCCTCCTTTATCTAGGCTTAGTATTTTACCTTGCCTTTGAAATCTTCTCTGGCTGTCACTGGCCTACCAAAAACCCACTGAGTTGTTTGAAATAATTTATGGTCAATGCAGCATCTTTCTCAACCTTAGTATTTTACCTTGCCTTTGAAATCTTCTCTGGTTGCATGATTGCATCCTCCAAATCCAAGTAACATAATTAACTTACTGCTAAGTAGAATATTGGAATTCTGTAAAAAAGCGCTTTGTGATGAGTGATAAACTGCTAATATTGGGTAAAATTTATTGTTAGAATATAAAGTAATGGCTGCTTGCACCTGTTAATTTATTGTCCTCATTTGATCTATCTGCAATCATTAATGTTGCTATAGAGCTTTTCCATGGATATGTGAGCATGCTGTTAAATCGTTATGCTTAATCTAAAGTCAGTACACTGCCATAATTTTTAGCTTCATTCAGCTTATATCTTATGTATTAAAGTTAACTGACTATATGCATGAAAATTTCCAGTCATGCAATCCTTATCTACCTTGCTTGTGCATTTCCTGGAGTGGCAGATCATTGGTGAGTCCATCCCCTTACCCTCACGAATCTCTAATTGGTTCTTTTATCTATTTACTTTATACTAAAAGAGACATCAAGGTAAACTATTTTCCCACAATGTTTTTCTTTTAACTTTAATTTATTTGACAATTGAGTCTAACAATATTTTTTTTTTGAATAGTGAGTCTAACGATATCTATTAATACTTTGTTCAAAAAAAAAAAAAAAAAAAATCTATTAATTACTTTTTTTAATAACCAAATCTCATTGTATACGTATTTTTTTAATAAATGAATCAAAATCTTGATTTCATTAACCATATTAACCATCAATAAGGAAATAATTATAAAAAAAATAATCTAAACATGTCTAAAATGGAAAAAAATAACTGTCATAGTCAAACAACTTGTTAGATCTTCAGTGAAACCAAAAGGATAGTATAAACTAAAATAATTTGATAAAAAGTACAAAGTATATAATAAAGTTCGTTTTCAGTAATCATTTTTTGTAGAAGTTGCACTATTAGATTAATTATTATATAAACTAAGTTTAATCCATTAATTATGCCAATGAATGAATAAGATATCTTCTTTTTGTAGAAGTCACACTATTTGGCATAATACTGGATTCCCTTTCACTTATCTGTTTTGCACCAATCAGTACCTTATTACTCTTCATGCATCTATTCATCATTGATCAACTGTAATATTTGAAGGTATCCTGCTGATGTTAGCAAGAGGGTTAAGATCCATTCAGTGCTGGATTGGCATCACTTAAATCTGCGTTATGGAGCAAGTACTGTGATTTTCTTCTCCTGTTTTGCATTCTTGATGTGTCTATACTACATTAATTTTATTCAATTAATTATTATTTATCAACTATCACATATGCTGTAAACTGAAAACAGATTCATGACATCACTGCTAGGCTGCTAGCCTATCCTTCTTTCCAAGCCTATATTGTGGTTGTGGATAATATGCACGATTTTCAAAGCAGAATCCTTGTGTGCGGCCAGATAAATCTTTAGCAATTTATGATACCCTTTTTCCCCTACCAGATTGCTTGATTTTTTGAATTAGGTGTGAAGCTGCCATAGGAGTTCTTATTGTTGTGAGGATAGAAACTTTTGTCGCATAACTTTTATGTTACTAGATGACATTAGCTTTCTACTTAGGCTCTATATGGTCCACTGCACAATGCTATACTGCATAATCGTTTTCCCCATTCTTCTGCTATATTGTTTGGATTGGTCCAGGAAGGGAAAAGTTGGGTATTTCAAACTGCTGTGCTATTGTTCTCTCTTAACTTGCCTTTGTACATTCTTCCCAATTTCCTGCAGCCTCCTGCTTTGGAGAATGATTTCATTTGCTTGCCCCCATGTCCTTTAAGATTTATCACTACGTTTTCCCTCTCCCTCTCTCTCTCTCTCTCCTCTTCATGGGGTGTAAATTTCTGTAATTAGTTGACCCTTTTGCAAAATTAATGGGTTAATTAACTGCAGAATAAGATGGAATTATAGTAACAAGCATGAACAAACAATCAGGGAGAACTATTTTAAGGATTCTTGAAACTTTTTGGGTTAATTCTTGCGGTGAATCTGTGATGCATATGGTATCTAAGATAGTTGAGGTGGAAGAAAAAAGAATTCTACTTTGGAATGAAAATGAGCTCAAAAAATTTTCTATGTTACCAATCAAGGAAATTTTATCAACAATTGAGCCCCTGCCTGAAAATATACTATCTTCTGGATAGGTGTCTTGGGGTCTTGACTTTTTCTGTATATCTTTCCAATCTTTCATTGGCATTGACTCTCGAGATGTCTAGTGATGGGCAATAACTGGTGCTATTTTAGGATCTGCAACTCTCTTCTGCCTTCTGGGCCATATTAGACGTCTCTATCTCTCACCCTCTGCAAGCATCCTTCCCCCCCATATATTGATAAAGCCTTAGTAGACATAAATGTTTTAATCCTTTTCTCATGTGAGTGTCTGGTTCTCTTTTTAGTGTCATGCTCCCTAGACTACTTTGTTAGAGACGAATATGAAATGCCATTGTCTGATCTCATGGTATGAATGCCATTACAAGCTAGATCCTCCAGTAATTAGATATCCAGATGCTATTATGCAGGACTACAGGAGATACCATCTAGATTTTTTTTAGTGTTTGTGTATGTGCCTATGAAATTGAAATAATGTCAAAGTCAAACTACATGGTAATTATTGGATGGTTTCCTATTTTGTCTTCTTGCTTACTTATTGTGTAAACTCTCTTTGTTACTTCTTTTGTTTTTGTTTTATCTAGGTGGCTGTCTTGTCAAATTTTCTGATAATCTCTTTCTTGTTTTCAGTGCTTATGGATTTAGGTCCACAGTTATTTACAATGACTTGTTTTCTGCTATCCAGTGAGATATGTTTTACATACCACACTTGGCCCAGCACTTGGCAGACCCTTAAATCCTGAAGCTGCTGCCAAAGCAGAGAAAACATTGGATTCGTCTTTGTCAAAAATCGAATCAGTCTGGCTCAAAGGAAGTGGAAAGTTTCTGCTGGGTAGTTACCAGCCATCTGTAGCAGACCTTAGTCTTGTCTGTGAGATCATGCAGTTAGAGGTGAGCAGTTTAAACTCTTTTTATATGTTTTTCTGTTTCCATTTTGAAGCTGTTTATGCCTAATCGTGACAACATGTGGTAAGATACCGTTGAACTGATGACTTTATGCTAAGATGGTAAAATGTCCTTGACTCCTTGCTATGATCACCGGTCATTATGAAATGCAGTAAAAAAAAATGTTAAAAATGTTTTTTTTTTTTTTTTTTTTTTTTTTTTTTTTTTGGGGGGGGGGGTTATATATTAGAATTATATTGGTACGAGTAAGTTGCTGGATGTAGTGAATAGTCCTGTTCAATACTTATTTTTTCAATGACATTCTTTTTGTTAATATTAGGTGAATTTTCTCAACAACTGGATTAAATATACGCCCTCCGATTTTCTTTGTTCTTCTCCTCTTATCGTAGACTCTTTTATATAGGTAATACTGAGAAAGGTGAATGGGTGTATAAAAGGCAGATAAAAAAATGATAGATGGAGTAAATAGGTGGGTAGATGAAAGAAAAGCCGGATAGAGTAAGATATTGCAAATGTGTATGTATTATGTGGTAACTAGGGTTAGTCAGATGGTAAAAGGTGTTTGCTAAGAATAGAAATATAGAATAGGGGAGGGGAAAAGTACCTCAAATTGGAAACTGTGTAGAAAAGAAAATAGGGAAGGGGTCTAATGAGAAAAATTTGCTCCTTTTTACAAACTTATTTTTATTACATTAATGCTTCCTTTATGTTGAAAAATGAAGTAATTTGGCCTTAAATTGATTATCATTCAGCTTAATTTTGACTAGACGGCAGTGATCATCACCATTTTGCCTTTAATGATGGTTTGAAGGTCAAATTTCGTTACATGTTCAGTTAAAGGTAGCGTTACTCTAAAATATTATGGGTTATAATTGTTTCAGAAAAAATATTAAGATAAAAGTGATGTATATCAGGTACATATAGACAAATATTCATTTAATAAAGAGAAGTTTGCTATTATTGATGAAGATGGTATTGAGCATTGCTGTGCTTTCAATATAATGTATATAAGAAAGAACAGCAAACGATAACTTGCTTATTATATAGCATAGACATTGTGTCTATTCTGTCTGATATGTAACTCAAACTTTTCAGTTCTCATTTGTGCCTTTTATGGGTACATTTTGGTCTTTTTAGCGTGAACGAAGCTTACCTAAAGCTAAAAGTAATTCTTAGATTCTTTCTGGAGCTTTTTAGTTTTACAAGCCAGTGAAGCTAGGTAGAGTGTGACATTCAATTTTTCCTGGTTTTAGGTTTTGGATGAAAAGGATCGTGCTAGGATACTGAGTCCATACAAGAAGATTCAAAAGTGGATTGAAGCTACAAAAGCTTCAACACAGCCCCATTTTGATGATGTTCATGGGATTCTTTACAGAGCCAAGATAAAAATTCAGAAGCAAAGAGAAATTTCAACATTGCAATCAAAGATGTGAAGAATGATGGAAATTGATAAATGCTCTTGATTTGCTTCTGTTTTGTTGAAGAATATAATTCAAGAACATCTTCCTACATTCCTGACTTTTGGTGTACAACATAATAGATGCTTAAGAGAATAATCGACTCTAGTATATGCTGTAATCTATACGTAAAAATGCTAAAGAGAATAAGATGAGAGTTTACTTGATCGAAACTCTTTTCTGAAGCCCCAATAATGAAGATCAGTGTTTGATTCTTATCAGCCCAACTTTAATATAAGTAGCAACAATCCCCCTTTTGTCGTATCAAACATTCTTTATGTCCTATTTCATGGTGTAGATTATATACCCAAAAAAAAAAAAAAAAAAAAAAAAGGCTATTTCGGGGTGGGGTTCCTTTATAGAGTCTGGCTTACAAGTTGGATAGTGAGAGGTACCCGTTTAGAACGGCTTTTTTTGGAGCGAACTTTGAAAAGTAAAGAGAAGATGATTTAAAATGTGTGTGTGGATCATTGCTTTTAGCTTGTTGCTGACAAATGTAACTAGATCATGTTTCTCACATTTCGAATTACACTGCTAAACTACCAAATGCCAGGAGAATTCTGTACACATTGTAGCACAGAGGATACATATATATTATCTGTAAAAGAGAGTAATCTGATCCTGAAACAGATTGGCTTTATTGTTTGCTGTTCCGGCCTCACCTCCCGTCCATGAGGTTCAGAGTTTGATTTCGATCTGACCCAACGTTTACGTGGACAACAGGGAAGTGGAAGAACTGTGGCACTTTTTTTTCCACTTAACCTATTTACAATTCCATGATTTAGCTAAGTATAAGCCACCTTCAGGTTATTGATACGTACAAAACTATTGTAGCTAACACAATTACCCATCATATAATGTATTAATAGGCATTTTCACTCAACCCTTATTTCCTTAACTTGAAGGGTGTCCAATATCTTTGGCTTTTTGTAATTCTTCAGCAAGAGTGACCAACAAACAACACTGACTGATGAAGCAGCCATCGCTGCTCCAGCAATCCATGGTGGTAAGCGGAATCTTAATGAGGGAAACAAAGCTCCAGCAGCAATTGGGATACCGAGTACATTGTAACCCAAAGCCCAAATATAATTCCATCGTATCCTAGAGAAAGTTTTCCTTGAGAGGTCGATGGCAGTTATGACGTCCTCTAAGTTGCTTCTCATCAGAACAATATCTGCTGCTTCTATGGCAATGTCTGTTCCAGCACCAATTGCCATTCCGACATCAGCAGCCACTAATGCGGGTGAATCATTAATACCATCTCCAACCATTGCCACTACATAACCTTCAGCCTGTGTTTATTATCACTTCATCAGTGAGGTGAGGAGCTACATATGTCCATAAGTACAATTTAAGAAGTATTATATCACAAATATCAAGGATTAATTGAAGGTAATACTTCTAAATTATGCTTGTTAGTTTCTCTTAAATAGGGAAAAGGAGAGTTTTCAAAATCTGACCTGTAATTCCTTTATTTTCTCTGCTTTCTGCTCAGGTTTAGCTTCAGCAATCACGGTCTCAATTCCAACTTGTCCGGCAATGGAGTTGGCTGTCCCCTTGTTGTCACCAGTCACCATAATGCTCTCAACACTCATGGACTTAAGAATAGATATGACTTCAGGTGCACACGGCTTCAGAGGATCAGAAATTGCTATTACTCCTGCAACTTCATGACTAATGGATACCAGTATGCCTGTTTCAGCCTTACCTTCGGCTTCTGAAAGCAATTCCTCTGCCTCAGCTGGGATGGTGATTCCTTGATTTAACATCAAGCTCTTATTTCCAATAAGAATCTCCTTGTTGTTGACTGTGGCCTTGACACCATGACCACTAATGGCCATGAACTCCCTCGCTTCTGACCAAATTTGGTGTTCTTTGTCTTCACTAAACTTCTTGGCATACTCGACGATGGCTTTTGCTAATGGGTGCTCACTATTGACCTGGAAATCATTCCCTATTATTATGTAAAGAAAAAGGAAGCATAATTTGAGTATTAGAAGTATTGAGCTAGAACATTGATCTTTATATCTCAGCCAAGACTAGAAACAATGGGTAATATACTCTGCATCTGTTCTGAAATTAGTCTAAAATCTAAAGACTATCAGAACTCAGAAGTATAGAGCTATAACATTGGGGTTTGTCAACAGAAGAAAAGGTGTGAAATTTAAGAATCAGCAAGTTTTCGGAAAATGAACTACCTCTACCGCGGCAACCAGTTTATAGAAGTCCCGCAGCACCATTTGTCTCAGAAGTCGCGTGCTGACAACTACTGGCTTGCCCTCTGTAAGAGTCCCAGTCTTATCAAACACAATACAATTAACCTACAAAAGTATATTAGAATAATGGAGTGTATTAATAGCTGCCAGGGTGCCTCCTTAAACTATAGTTTCATCCATTTTAAGCTTATTGAATGCAAGATACGAAAAGTATAACATACCTTGTGAGCAGTTTCAAGAGCTTGGCCTCCTTTGATCAGTACACCTTGAGAAGCACCAATTCCAGTACCAACCATAACTGCAGTTGGTGTCGCCAAACCCAGGGCACACGGGCAGGCTATGACCATGACAGATATGCCAAACTGTAGTGCAAGCTCAAAGCTGTCCATTGATGGTGGTATCCATGATTCTGGGTAGCTGTGGAATTTTCCGCCTAAAAACCATGCAAGCCAAGTTGAAATTGCAAAAAGGATAACCTGGGGGAATAAAGCAGTAAGTAATAAACAATGTTGAAGTATCTTAATATAGTTGAGCTTTCCAAGAATTTATATGCTTACTAAGTTACTAACCAATGGCACAAAATATCTAGATATATGATCAGCAAGCTTCTGCACAGGTGCTTTGTTCATTTGTGCTGATTCAACCAGTCGTACAATTTGAGAAAGTGCACTTTCTGATCCAACGCGTGTTGCCTTAATATGTAAGGCCCCATTTTGATTCACTGTACCTCCTATTACTAGATCACCCTTCCTCTTAGGTACTGGCCGCGATTCTCCTGTTATCATGCTTTCATTGACATAGCTTTGGCCCCAAACTACAAAACCGTCACAGGCTACTTTTTCCCCAGGAATGACTTTAAGCACATCATTCTTTTGTATCAATCTGCTGTCAATTTCTTTTTCTTTCAGGATCTTTCCATCTGCATCAAGGGTTAATAATGCTGCCCTCTCAGGGGCCAAGTCCATTAGCTTGGCGATTGCTGCAGATGTCTTTCCCTTCGCCAATATCTCTAGGTACTTCCCTAGAAGTACAAAGGTAATAAGCATAGAACTTGTCTCAAAGAAATCTGTTCCCTCAAACTTTTCTGATGTAGCAGCTCTAACCACGGTGTAGACTGAATAGAAGTAGGCTGCATTTGTTCCCAGCGCAATCAAAACATCCATATTAGCAGAACCATGCCTTGAAGCATTGTAAGACCCAATATAAAATCTCCGGCCTATAATGAATTGTATAGGGGTTGCTAATACCCACCTTATTATCTCACCAACAGTTAGCATCTTCAAAACTTTGGTGTCAAATACTTCTCCAACACCCGGAATATACATGAATACCATAGATGTCAGAAACACTGGGATCATTAAGATTAAACTCCACAGCAATGATCTGTAATACTGCTTGATTTCTTCCTGTTTATGTGAATCCTTTCCGTGATCTTCGGGATATATCATTGCATTGAAACGCCCTGAGCTAGCTGACTCGATCACTTCAATAAAGTCTCTTGGCCCTGTATTATCAGACTGGTAAGAAACAGATATTTTCTGAAGTTTTGGATCAATATCTATATTTTGAACACCGGGGAGAATGTTAAGTGAGTTCTCAATCATTCTCCAAGAATGATCTGTTTTTATCCCATCAACCTTTAGGTGCACCTTGCATCTATCTTCTCCTGTAGTGATAAGTACAGCCTCAAACCCGCTATCTTCTACAGCTTCTAGTAATTCATTGTAACTAACAAGCTTCGGATCATAGTGAATTTCTGCTTCTTCAGTAGCTAATGCAACTTGTGCCTTTTTAACACCATGAACTCCTAGGAGACTAGTTTCGATGGCATTTGCACAAGAAGTGCATGTCATTCCTCTAATCCTTAACCGGCATACTTGACTGCTTCCATCGTTAATATCATCAGCAATCAGTTCAGCCTCGAAGCCAGCATCCACAATGGCTTCAAGGATTCGTTCCTCCTATACAACATTGACACTTTTTATAGGTCAGCAAAGATGAAAGAATGTGAAAAATCATTGCTAAAACTTTCTTAAAGCATGCATGTAACTAAATTTAGGTTTTGCAGCTATGTTCTTATGTACCAATATACATAAGTTTGATAAGCAGTACACTGACACTTGTGACTACATAAACGAAAATTGCACTATTATTGGCATTACAGATACTGTGTTCTCTCAATATAAAATTATGCATCCAATTTCCAAAGTAAACTATTTAGATTTTTTAGCCTTTTCTTTAATCGTACACAAATTCTAAAATCAAGCAGCTTAAAGTCATAGATTACATATGAGGACTTTTGATAGGTCATACACCATTGTTAAAGCTACTTCCTCTGTTCCAAATTAGATGACACATTTCTTTTATCACGTTTGACAATGCAAAAGTTCAATCGAAAATATCTTTGATTAAATTATTGTAAAAAATACTAAAAATTGAATTTCAATTAAGTACACATTGAAGTGAATCTAACAAGATCCCACATGACTATGCATTTTTATACCTATAAATCACAAATCTTAGTCAAAACAAAGTTAATGAATAGTGTCAAAAGTCAAAACGTGTCACCTAATTTAGAATAGAAGAACTATGTAATAGTCCCTCGATCTATTTCTAAATGTTCTTCCTATTTTAACTATTTTAACAGTACATGTTTGCCGGTGCAACTTTGATAGCAATTATATTTAGTTGCATATTACTCCCTCCGTTTCATATTCAGTACAACACTTTCCATTTTCGACCGTTTTATAGTAATTGCAACACTACTATTTTTGGCAAGGATCCACCATTATTTTATAATTTCTCTCTCCCACTAACCCTACTTTCACAAATATGTTATTATTTCTATTTCCTACGAACCCCACTTATACTACTTTTTTATTATTTCTTTCTCCTACCAACGATACTTTATATAAAAGATTCTCTTTGGGTCCCACCCTATAAATTTTCTTAAACTTTATGAACACCCTAATGTTGCATTTAATATGAAACGGAGGGAGTAATAAAATACTCGCTCTGATTTTTTTATAAGCTAGAGTTACTATTTTCATCCTTTTTTTTTATAAGCTAGAGTTCCATTTTTGGAAATCTCTTACTCCCTCTTTTTATATATATATATATATATATATATATATATATTTTATTATTATTATAAGCTAGAGTTGGATTTGCACATTTGTCGAGATACAACTTTGACCATTAATATCTTTAATTAGAGGTTAGTAAAAATTATGAAAAAAATAATTTATAAAAGTAGACATTATGACAAATCCAACAACATATTATATGATCATATTTATATATTATATATTGGTAAAAAAAATTAAGTCAATGATGACCAATGAATAGTGGAATTTTCCAACTCTAACTTATAAAAAAACGGAGGTAGTACAATTTAATAATATATCTTTACCCACTAATGTCCCCACTCTTTCAATGGTCCTCACTCCCTCTCACACCACTTTACTTTTAAATAATATAATAATCTTATCTACCCCATTAACATCTTATTTTATTAAACTACCTAAAATTCCGCGCAATTTCATTTCTAACCTATAAAAAACGGAGGGAGTAAAATATAAAAATTAAAAATTATAATAATTGAATATTAATAAAGTATTTATCGAGTCAAACCAAATAAAACTTAACATGACTGTTATATTTTATACATTGATAGTATTTTAGAAGATTATCGTGTCAATATTCCAATTGAAAAGAATAAAAAGAAACGATGGGAGTATAATATTATATGGGTCGTTACTTGGAATAACATACCATTTGCACCTTTTGAGTACTCCCAAAAGATCAAAAACAATGCTAGTGGCGGACTAGTGGCTAGGGCTGCGGCCCCGATGGGTCTAGTGATGGTGCCCAAGAGGCCAAGATGGGTCCAGTGGTGGATTCATAGTGTTGGTTAGTGGAAATGGTATATATGGTAGATAGATTGTGTATGATTCTTGGATTGGGAGTGGTAAACTACTAAACTAGTAACATAGTTTGATGCCCTAATTTGGTAATGTATTGGATAGATGGAGTACATTTAACTAAGGCCCTGTTCTCTATTCAGTAAAATTAATTTTAGTTCAGTAAAATAATTTCAATTCAGTAATAATAAGTACAGTTTTGTAAAATAAGTTCAGTTCAGTAAAAATCAGTAACTTCAAAGAAGAAATATAATAGACAATCAATAAAAATAATTTTAGTTCAGCAAAAATAATTTCAGTTCAATAAAAATATTTTCAGTTCAGCAAAAGTAAGGTAAAGTGAACGGGCCTAACAATATTTTGATTCAATATATTTGTCACTCAGTAGTTATCAAAGTCTCTATCTTTTTTGTTGCAATGAAAGGGAATTTTACACTAAACATTATTGTGTCATAAGAATTTATTTCAGTTTCCCATTATGAATATGACTAGAGAGCAAACATAAATACATAATGGTATAATACACGTATAATATTTTCTTACAAGTTTTTTTTGTAATGCATGAACGTATTGAATATTGAAATTTAAGAGGAAAGATAAATACTTCATAAATCATAATATTTATACACTCTTACTCAATAAGGTTGACTAGATATCACTTCCTTTAAGCTATAAATTACTCATATAAACTTAATTATAGAAGCTTATTATTAGCAATACATTAAGAAAAAATTTATTGCATGGCAAAATATTAGCAAAATAAGTGATACTTTTGCTATTTACTTTTTAGATCAGAACTATCATATAATTAAGAAATTGTTGATCAAAGAAAGTTGACTACCACCCTTTATCTATAGCTTGTTTTCTCTTCATCTCAGTTCTTGTTTCCCACTTACAAAATACAAGTAATTTTTAAAAAATTAGAGAACTGTAGAATGGTCTTTCCCCCTTTACAGATCATTCGAGGAAAGCTAATTTTCATAATTTATTCAAAACAATCAGGCAATGGGATTAAACAACCACATTTAAATATGTGAAGAATAAAAATAAAACTAAGATAATACTTCGTATATATTGATATCCCAAACAAAAACATTGCTTAATACTCCCTCCTTTTCACAAGAATCACAACATTTGTTTTTGCACACATTCAAGTCATATTTTAATCATTAAAATTTTCAAGCATGCATTGAAAATATCATAAAATCCAATCCTTTTATATAGTATGTGAAACAACGAATTGGAAAAAATCTAACAAAATTATATTCTATATGAAAATGTTTTAGTTTACATCATAGTAAGAAAATACGATTAATCAGCCATAAATAGTTAAAATAAACTAAAATAAAATAAAAAAAACATTTTTATCTTGAAATAGAGGGAGTAGCGAAAATAGAAAGATAAGGCAGAAAGAACTTACATTAACAAAGTTGGGATAAAAAATGACTTGAGCTTTATTATTCAAAACATCAACAATAGCCTCTTTAATCCCCGGAAGTCGTTTAATAGCCTTCTCAACTGAAGCAGCACAAGCTGAGCATGTCATTCCCATCACTCTATACATAGCTTTCCATTCACTACTCTTACATCCTTCTTCCATATTTCCTTTCATTGACGTCGAAATCCCTTTGGGATACTTAGGCATTGAAGGGTACCGAGCTCTCGGGGACATAAGATCACTCCTACTGTCATTACATACGCATACTAACGTTAAGACTTTCACGCCTGCCATAGGCATTGACCTTTTTGTAATGTTGCTCTTGGGTTTTTAATTTACTATTGCTTTGCTAGCTGGAAGTAAGAATACATGAAAAATGATGTAAATTGTAAGCAAATGATTCTTATGTATATATAAAGTAAAATGTAAAAAGTGGTATAACTTTTGAAAATTCTAGCCTGAATAGATGAGTGCGCATTAATTAGTTTAGAGTAAATTGGAAGTAAAAATAAGTAATGCTGAATTAGGTATTTGATTTCGATGTATTAAAAGCTGACACACAGTTCCTTTTATAGTTTGGATGAGGTAATTTATTTACATCTTTATTGTATGAGAAAGAAATGGATAATAATGAATTAATGATAAATCTCTCCACCGTGTAATTAAATGTAACTAGGTTATATATGGGTAGTGTGTGCACCATGCAAGTTTAATTAATGCTTGTCGTAGTGGGATAATTCTTTTATGACAAGGTTGATAAAAGTTAGCAACGTAATATGCTACTAGTAACTATCATATAACTGTACGAGTAATATATATTTAGCTATAAAAGCTTGTTAATTTTTGAATAATGTAATTACGAGATAATTCAGTTACCAGCTAGTAGGAAATTCAGGAATCCCACATTTTAATTTATCATTTTCACGATTTTGCTTGACGTACAACTAAGGGACTAATTGAAAGGGAACGAATAAATGGATCCCTATCTATATCATGAACTCATTCCTCATGATATGAGTCATGACTTCTTCCACAATAATGTATATATCGACTCTTTATCGTTTCATGAGTAGCAAGCAAGGATAGGTTTTGATAAGGTCGGTTTTGATGACTTCATTGTGGAAGCAGATGGTTCATGAGGATAAAAAGACCACGAGAGCTGGGATAGGTTAGGCGGTTCAAATCAATACCCGAGGCTATGCTATTGAAGAGGGAGGGAAACATGGAACGACAGCATCCGTCATTCAATGTGAGGGTTGGGCATGCCTGGAAGCAATGAAGTGGGCTCGAGCTAAAGACAGGCAAGGAATCCTTATTTTATCTGACTCTACTTCCTTGGTGAACAATTTACAGGATAAGATGGGCAAGGAAGTCTCGATAACTTGGATTCTTAAGGAACTAAAGGAAGTGGGGGCGTTGTTTCAGAGGTGCACTATTTTAAAAGTTCCCAGAGAGCAAGTTCAAAGGGCAAATGATATTGTAAGATATTGTCGGATTAACCTATCTAATTTAATGTAATGTGACTAGATCCCTTTTGCTTTTGTAAAAAAAAAAAAGAAAAAGGGAGTAGCAAGCAAGTAACTTACATTCAATCTCATAGAGCGACATATATCATTATATCATACAACTAATAAACAACATTATAATGCAAAATTTATTTGTCGATCACTTCCGTTAAGAGTGGTAACACATTCAAAGAAGTATTATGTTGTATATACTTGCATTAATATTATAGAAAATTTTAGTGATTGGTTAAATTAGTGTGTCAAATTTTTGAGATGACTCATATCATCACTTAATTCACTTTAGCTGTTATTAGTGTAAAGTTTGTCACTTCTAAAAAACTTAAATGGGTGGATCTAATATGCTTACAGCGAAACATACCTTTACCTAAATTAATGATTAAAGAAAACTTTTCTTTTGACTAATTGTGACAGAATAAAAGAGAATAATATAGAATGATCATAATAAGCCACTTTTTTACTTATTCGAAACAAATTTGATAATGTAACAAATAAATAAATGATAATGGGATGGGTGGCAGTCCAATTAATATATATATATATATATATATATATATATATATATATATATATATAATTAATTTATATAATTAATTTTTTATAGGCACGGTCCAATTTATATGAATAAACGTAGATAGTAATTAATAAATTTGAATTAATTAAGCAAAAGTGGGAGGTTATTCCGTGACGCTAAGTATTCAGAAGACACAAAAATTATTTTTCATAGGTTTTCCATTTTAAAATGTTTCTCTTGGGTATTATTTGAAAAAAGCATGATATTCGGTTGTCAACTTTGTTTCTTCTTCACATGTTTTGCAAGACTTTATATTTCAATAATTGATTTGTTTTGCAAGACTTTATATTTCAATAATTGATTTTTAATACGGAGTATGAATTTTAAAATTTTGGTTCGATTTAGGCCTAGTTCACTTCACCCTATTTTTGTTGAATTGAAATTATTTTTATTGAACTGAAATTATTTTTACTGAACTTAAATTAATTATACTGAAACGAAATTATTTTTGCTAAACTAAAATTATTAATACTGATTTTCAATTATATTTCTTCTTTATAGTTATTGAATTTTACTGAATTGAAATTATATATACTAAACTGAACTTATTTTTACTGAACTGAACTTATTTTTACTGAATTGAACTTATTTTTACTAAATTGAAATTATTTTTACTTAATATCATTTTTTAAGGTGAAGTGAACAGGAACTTAGTATGAATTTTTCTAGCCTAGTGTGACCTTGTTTGAGTTTTATTAATAGTCTGACAGTCTGACTCGCTCATTATTATTAAAAATAACGTTCTAGTTTTATTCAAATTATTTTTATATTGATGGTTAACTCTTAATTAATATCATCATCTTTTGATAAATTGTAGTAACAAGTTGATGTAATAAAAAATCTAAATTCAGATCACTCCAACAATAATTAATGACATTTAGTTTTATACTTCTTTCGTGCTTTTATAAGTAGTTGACATGTTTTGACTATTGACTTTATTCTCAATCTCTAATTTAAAAACAAAATTAACTATCTTTTGTAGTTTATAATTAATATAGTTAGGTGGGATTTTTTCTATAAATGTATAAGGTATGTTTTCATTATATTAATTTTTTATTATTTATTAATAATTAAAGATATTAATCGTTGATTTTGTCTTTTTTAAAAATGTAATAAAATAAACATGTACTACAAAGAACTAAATAAGTATTTAGTAATAAAATTAGGTCAAAAGACAAGTATTGAAAGGATTGAGAAATAGAGTTGATGGATGCACATACATGCTTCATGCCTCCACCCCAAGAGAATTCTACCTCGACACCTAATACAAATATCTCCATAAAAATATTGTTTCCACCTTTGACCAAGTTAAGCTGAAAATATATCATAGAGGTGATTCAAATCTATAGTTAATTAGCTAGCCTATTAGGATGAAGTTATATGTATTAGTTGCACAGTGCACTTACTTTCAAGTCAAACCATTTTTGGTTGCCAAAGTTAAAATCAAATTGTATAATTTTTAAATTTGAATTTAAAAAAAAAAAATGATCAAATTTTGCCTCTAGCGTTCAAGTTGTGCTTGACTAAAATTTATTACTCAATGAGAAATTGCATATTTACGACTCTATTATATTTACTTTTTCAAACAACTAATACCTCCATTTCTGTAATTAAGCTATCTACAATGTGACATTTGACAGGATCATCGTCCATAAATTATATGTAAGAAATTAATATATTCGTATAAGGACTTGTGATTAGATTAATCACAAATACGAAGAATGTATTTTCATAATATAATATTTATTTATTTATTATTTTTATATATAATTAGTTTTACATTGACAAATAATGTAAAGTACGTAAAGCACAAATTCCGGGTTTACTTCGTAGTAGTTTCTCAAAAAATTTCCTATACGGAGTACTTTTTATTTTTATTTTATTTAAAGGTAAGATGAAAGATCCTATTAGATTGACACCTCTCACAGTTTAAGTCAGTTTAGATTTGCAGGTCAACCGCTTGAGAGTAGAGAGGGAGGTAAGGGAATCCCCGTACTCCCAAGCAAATATAGTTGGTGGAACTCATGACCTCAAAGTTACAAGGTGAGTTCCCCACCAACTCTAAGCTTGATATACGGAGTACTTTTTACAGCTCATGCATTTCATAGTTAGAAAGCACCTTTTAACTTGTCTAATATCTCCACTACTCCACTAAGAAGTCTAAGATTAGCCAATATTTGTTCTCGTCAAAAAAAGTAACTAAAAAAATAAAGGTGTTTTCAGTTGCTCCACTAACTTACCTCAGCTGTATTTGCTCGCATTAATAGGTGAAGTCTCCTTCAAAATTCATCATACATGAAAAATACTCTTTATTAAGGGCAGCTTTAAGGGTGAACAAAAAAATAGTTCACAATGAGTGAACAAGTGAATGGATGGCTTAATGGTGATCTCTATAATTGTTCATAGTGAATGGTTGTGGGATCGATTGCTGCTGCAAGCATTTGGACGAATTTATGGATTGTGGGCCCCACCCATTTTTATTTTTTTTCAGGAAAAAAAATAGAAAGCAGCGGCTGGGAGCGCGCCACTTGGCCCAGCCGCTGCTTGACACGTTTCACTGTTTTAAATAAATCTGTTGTAATTTTGCAACGGATATATTTTACAAAACACAAATCAAAAAAAAAAAAAAATTACCAATGGCTCTATTTTTTTCCCCTCTATAAATAGACACCCATATTGCTATACTTTCTTCAACTTTGAAAATCCATTTCTTTCTACTATATTTTTCTCTTTAAAAATCCCCTCTATAATTACCAATATTATTATTATTAATATTATTATTATTATTATTATTATTATTATTATCATCGTTATTATTATCATTTTTATTATTATTATCGTTATTATTATTATTTCCTTTATTATTATTATCGTTATTATTATTACTTTTATTATTATTGTCGTTATTATTATTATTATTAAATTTTTATTTTTTCCAAATATAAATTATAATTATGGATGCTAATACCAACCCCAAAACAAATAGAAAGAAGAAAAAAAATTTGGGTCAAAATATGATCCTTCAAGCTTGTTTTGCCATTATTAAAAAGCCGTCTTTGGCGTGGGATACCGACATACTCCACAATATCATGCTCGCCTGCATCATAATACATAATATGATCGTTGAAGATGAACGAGAGACGTATCAAAATAACGTTAATACCAATGAGTTTATGAATGCTGGAGGCAACGCTAATGAGGACACTACCGAGTACCGTACTGATCGTATTGTGGATATCGGCTTATACTTGTCTCGTAGAACAGAGATTGAGGATCAACAGACTCATTTGCAGCTAAAAAACGACTTGGTCGAACATATATGGAATAAATTTGGTAACAACGAAAACTTAGGCAACTAGGTTTACAACAAATGGTTATCCCTAAGGACATCTTACAAAACGATGTGTAGTTGTTTTTTTTTTTTTTAAATAAAATGTACTAGATTATAGTTGTAGAACTGTAATCACGATTTGTACCTCTTTTTTTTTTGTTAATTAAAATTAGCTGCGTTGTTGTTTAAAAAATATTAATCACAAGAATTAGTTTTTTAAAAAGCTGATAAAAAAATGCGATAATTTCTTAATTAGTAATCACGATTAAAATATTAAATACGTCAATTAATTACATTGACATCGGGTTAATAAATTATAATTATGAAACAAAAAAGATTATATTTACAAAAATAAAATAAGGTGGGGTAGGGAGTATTGATGATGAACCATTGTTTAGTGTTCATTGTTAAGAGTGAATATTGTAAATGGTTTGTGGGTTGATGTGGATGAGAGAGAAATGGTGATAGTGACCCATGAACCATTTATTTGGGTTCACCAATAAAGATGCTCTAAGAGCATCTTTAAGGGTGAACATTTTAATAGTTCACAATGAGTGAACAAATAAAGTGGTGGCTTAATGACAAACTCTTTAATTGTTCATGTTGAGTGGTCATGGGTTCGATTGCAGGAGCAAGCACTTGCATGAATTAATTCGCTGTGGGCCCCACCAATATTTTGGACTGATATTCATGCAAAACGACGTCGTTTTGCTGTTTCATGTTGCAAAACGACGTCGTTTTGCTGTTAAAGGTCAGAAAAAAAAAATAGAAATCAGCGGCTGGGAGCGCGCCACTTGGCCCAGCCGCTGCTTGACACGTGTGTACTGTTTTAAATATATCCGTTGTAATTTTACAACGGATATATTTTACAAAATACAAATCAAAAAAAAAAAAATTACCAACGACTCTATTTTT